CGCGCGTGCGTGTGTTGCAGGTAGTATGCGCGCGTGCGTGTGTTGCAGGTAGTATGCGCGCGTGCGTGTGTTGCAGGTAGTATGCGCGCGTGCGTGTGTTGCAGGTAGTGTGCGCGCGTGCGTGTGTACAGGTAGTATGCGCGCGTGCGTGTGTACAGGTAGTATGCGCGCGTGCGTGTGTTGCAGGTAGTATGCGCGCGTGCGTGTGTACAGGTAGTATGCGCGCGTGCGTGTGTTGCAGGTAGTATGCGCGCGTGCGTGTGTACAGGTAGTATGCGTGGCAGCGTGGCAGCGTAACACGAGAAGCTGCAAAAACCGTCTCCGTCGCTAAGCAAAAACACGCGAGCGCGTACTTTACTTGTGTAGGCGTACCCGTACTGCGATACACGCTGCTTAAGGATACTGTTGGGAGGTGAATTTCGGTCGAACTTTCAATACCCACTTTATTTGATAGATCGCAGCCATGGGAAGCTATGTATACGTAGACATTATGTATGTAGCCTCCCAAACAGTTCCAAATCCCCGCATTTGTCAATTCTTAACACAGGCGTTCAATGATGGGAAATTTAGAAAAGTGCTGATAACTCGGTTGTTAAAAATGCTAAAGTAGGTGATTTTTCAAGCGCTATTTCTCGAAACTCGCAACTCTAATTCCAAATTTGTTTGTTACGTTTCAATGCTAACATATCAAAGGAAAAAAGATTCCCTGTAATTTTTTTAAATATTATATTTTATGAGTTATGGCTTTTTGTTTACGAAATTGTTGCGTTTAGAAATTCACTACAAATTTTTGTGCATCTTTTCAATTTATTTCCTAAATTAAAGCATTTAAAACAAATTCTAGGGATAATATTTTAGTTCATATTATGAACAACTTATGATTAAAAGTTTAGGTCCCAACCCTTTGCTGTTTCTGAGAAATAGCCAAAAAAGCATGTTTTTGTATAAATTCACAATTTTTGCCGTCAATTAATTAGCGATGAATAAAAAAAAATTATTTCACCGAGAGCGTAGAGAGACATCTCTCGTATGTAATAGATATGAGTTTGATTGAATTTGATGAGTAGTTATGTTGCAATGCCCTTTACAGTGTTACGGTTCCGTAGCCCTAACAGTGTCCTTAAAGGGATTCTGACATCTATAACGTATTTAGCCTATCATATGACATTGTAATTACTTTTAAACATGTTTGCTGACACGGGCGTGCAGCAACCATAGAGTTATTCGCAAATATCGCTCGTGCGTTGCACGCTGGGATAGGTAGTGATCACTGGTAACGCCCTCTATGGAGAGGAGAGCACGATATCGCTAACGTACGTAGAAACCTGTATTGAAAGGTGGCGGTGTTTATAACGTGGTGTTGCTTACATTTGTAAAAGTAATCTACTTTAAACTAGATGTATCTAATCAGAATAGTTAAATTCGTATAATTAAATAAGTATGGGCAGTACAGACACGGTAATTAATGAATGAGACTACGCAACAGAGGTTCACCACACTTACTTCGGGTAATGTGAACATAACAGATTTCCACAACCTCAATTCCTTCCTTCGCCAATCGGCTAACCTATCCGGCGATTGTAAGTTTACTGTAGCGCGTTGAGCGACAAACAACACTGATACGTAAAATGCAGACTAACGAACGCAAACACGCTTACTAGTAAGTGTGCCGGCACTTGTCACCTGTTTTTTTTTCACTCGAGGTAAAGAATAGCGTCGTGTGAACTATATACCAACGAGCAAACACACACACCCATTTCCCTGCCATTCTCCCTCTTCTTCACTGCCAGGTGCAAACGAACGGGCTAAAGGTCACATTAAGAGTGCTTTCAACTCTCCCTATGTTCCCTCTACCTGCGGTGGCCATATCTAACCCTGACCAAAAAGCCGCGTCGCTGGTAAGTTGGTTAGGTTAGTGCAGTGCCGATCATCTAAGGTTGAGCCGTAAGTCCGATATAGCGAGATAAGCGAGTGGACTGACCCCCATCACTTTACTCACTCCCGCCCGATCTCTCTTTCTCTCGCTGCAGCCACAGATACTGATTAGGGCAACATTACAACAACATTACAATTTTACAACAGCACATAATTGTGTATCTTGACTTGGTTTTCTTCCAGTGCTTTCTGCTAACGCGATCCTCCGGTTTACACAAATGTTTGTTTGCGCGCGTGTTTTTTTTTTGCTCGCGACGTCGCGCCGTAACCGCACGTCCGAGTGCACCACTCTCTCTCTCTCTCTCTCTCTCTCTCTCTCTCTCTCTCTCTCTCTCTCTCTCTCTCTCTCTCTCTGAGCCATGTAATGACCACGACCTTGCTGCGTTTAAGCATGATAAATGACCACTCAGAAAACACGTAGCGTTGATGCATGACATCGCTAATGGTCAATGGCCGAAAGGCAACAAAGGTCCGCGGAGAAGTGGACGAAAGTTGAGGTGGACGAAGGGGAACAAAGGTCCGTCGAGATGGCCGAAAGGGAACAAAGGTCCGTCGAGATCGACGGCCATACGCGTGACTGTAGTACATCCGCGTGCAGACAGACTTTAACAGCGCTACGCCATGCACGCACGCACCGATATCTGTCACACGCCCCGACTATGCATATACTCGCCTGGCCATAATTCCGAAGCGCCGAGTAGAACGCCTAACGCCTAACGCGCGTACACACCGGAGTCGATTCTGAACGAGAGAGAAATTCTCCGGAGTGAGGGATTGATCGCAAAATGACCGGGTTCAAGTCTGCACACGTGAAAACCTTCTCCGCTTACTACCTTCTCCCTTTCCTCCTTCCCTTTCCCTCCCCCTCCCATCCCCGTCCCCTCCCCCTCCCCTCCCGCGATCCGAATTCCGAATTTACGGACTCAATGACCGGGTTCAAGTCTCCGCACGTAAGATCTTCTCCGCTACTACCTTCTCCCAATTATACTAATACTCACCCTTCCTCCCTTCCACTCCCTCCCAGATTTTCTGAGCGCATTTACGGACTCACCTCATGAACAAAAACCTCAGACTAATAACACTCGCAAAATGGCCGCCTCCGGCGGCCATATTCGCTCGTTACGCTGATGAGACTACGATGATTTCTCTAAATCCTGGCCCGATTCATAGTAATCTTTTAGTAAAATATTGACCGCGTTTTTGTAACTTTCTCCGCTACTACCTTCTCCCATTCTCTCCCCTCCCATCCCCAATCCTTCCTCCCCCTCTCCCAATCCTTCCTCCCCCGATCCTTCCTCCCTCTCCCCCGATCCTTCATCCTACCTCCCCTGATCCTTCCTCCTCCGATTCTTCCTTCCCCTCCCCCGATCCTTCCTCCCTCTCCCCCGATCCTTCCTCCTCCTCCCCCGATCCTTCCTCCACCTCCCCCGATCATTCTTCCACCTTCCCCGATCCTTCCTTCGCCTCCCCCGATCCTTTCTCTACCTCCCCCGATCAGCAATCACGGACTCACCTCTGCCTGCGTTCAGCTTCTCAAACACGTAGAGTTGCGGTCGGCCGTCGAAGACGTCGGCTTGCTTGACGAGGGCGTCGCGGACGGCATCGCTGTCGTTCAAAACGACGACGCGCTCCGCTCCCAGCTGCACGCCGACGACGCTTCCGTAGGTCGTCGCCCAGCGCATGAAGGCGACGTGAGGCATATCGCCAATGAATGGAATCGAGCCGACCCAGGGTAGAGCGAACGGTCCGGGCGGCAGGCGGTGCTCGCGCGCGGTGCCGACGGCGACGACGACGCCGCGTAGCTGGCTCAGCAGATAGACGACGACGAGAATGAGCGAGACGGAGATGCAGTACTCGAAACCGACGTCGGCTAGCAGCTCTAGCAGCGCCATCTCGTGTGAGTGTGAGTGTGTGTGTGTGTGCGTGTGAGTGTATGTGTGCGTGCGTGAAAGTGTATGTGTGCGTGTGTGTGCGTGCGTGTGTGTGCGTGGGTGCGTATACGTGTGCGTGTAAGTGGTGTACGGTGGCAGTCGTTCCCGGCGTTCGGCACGATGCGAGTATAAGAATGTTCCTTACTGATGCTTGCGTCGACTGTGTGTGGTAGTAGCGGTGCTGGTGGTGGTGGTTGATATGCGGTGGTCTCCTGTCCAGGGTTCTTCTTGACTCGCCTCTGAGGATGCCATCGCCGCGCCGAGACCAGCATTTATATATCGCGGTGAGACCCGAAACAGGTTAATGTATGCACGACCGTGACGTCACGGAAGCTGACGCACGCGGAGACACACGCGGCGTGTGTGTGGCGGCTAGTTCAGAGATCATGCATCTGTGACGTCACGTGCGCATCAACGTGTCGCCCCCCCCCCGCCCCGACCACCACCACACTCACTGTTCCAGCTCCCTATCTATACCTCACCACACACACACACACACACACACACACACACACACACACACACACACACACACACACACACACACACACACACACACCTTAGCAGCGGACACGTATTTTTCAGTTTTGCGTTGTGGCGGTAGCTGTGTTGAACCCAATTAAGCGGTTTTTTTGTATCCACTCGCGTGATCGGATAATGTGCGCGCGCGTAGTGGTGTGTGTGCGGGTGCGTGGGCGTGTGGCGTGTGTGTGTGCGTGCGGTACTGGCATCCGTGTGTGTATGTGTGGTGTGGTGCGTGTGCGGTGTGCGTTGCATGTGCCGTGGCGCGCGCGAGCGCCGTGTGCGTGTGCGGCGTGTGCCGTGTGGTGGTATGTGTGCGTGTGCTGTGCCATGTGCGATGTGCGGTGTGTCGTGTGGCGTGTGGCGTGTGCGTCTGTGCGTGTGCGAGTGCGTTGTGCGTGTGCTGTGTGCGTGTGCGTGTGGCGAGTGTGTGTGGCGTGTGCGAGTGAGCGTGTGGTGTGCGTGTGGTGTGCATATCGTGTGCGTATATATGTGTGCGCGTGCGCGTGCGTGTCTGTGCGTATGCGTGCAGTGCCATCCGGAGCGTACGTGTTGCGTGTACGTTCCTCTCCCTACAAATGGTGTTGTGCCTGCGCTCGGGCCTGTGTCCGTGTGTCTATGCGTGCATGCGTGCGTACGTGCGCTTGTATGTGTTGGCGTGCGTCTGTGATTCTGTACGCGCGTGTGGCGTGGCAGTGCATAGCGTGCGTGTGATGGGCTGCCATGCGGCATGCGTCGTGCGCGCACGATTGCATGCGTGCGTTGTCGTGCGTGCGCGTGTGTGTAGGCGTTCGTGACGTGGCCCTTGTGTGTGTGTGTGGTGCGCGCGTGCCATGCGTGCGTGAGTACGTGGTGATGTTGTTCGTGCGTATACGTATCGTACGTAGCGTGTGTGTTACACACAACACATATATTTGGATGACAACTGGCAAACAGAAAAGCAGCCGTGTAACCAACAATCGTTGGCGTACGGCAGGAATGGTACGTCGCATGCATCTACATTGAGCTGCGGCGGCACGAAACAATCGAGATAAAAGTCGTTCCGCAAGTAGTGCGCCGGCGGGAGGAATATAACGGAGGCGAAGTTGCGTATACGTATTGCGCGCGTACGTGACCGGGTGGCCGCGTGACCGTACGTAGCCGTGCGTGCGGCGTGCGTGCCCGGTGTGAGTGGTGTGGCGGCGGCAGCGTGTGTGAGTGTAGCGTCGCCGCGAGCGCTGAGAGTGCGGAGTGAGTGCGTTTCGTGCGTGTGCGTGAGTGAGTGCGATGCGATCGGCCAGTGTGTGAGTGCGTGCGGCGGTGCGTTGCGTGCCCCGCTGAGTGGCTGTGTGCGGGCGGGCGCGTGTGTGAGTGTATGCGGCCTGCGCCGCGCCGAGTGGTGACGTGAGTGCGGTCGTGAGTCTTGCGTGAGTGAGTGCGTCGCGATCGGGGCGCGTCGTGAGTGCCGTGCGTGCGTGCTGTGCGTGCGCGGCGTGTGCGTCGATTAAGTGCGATCCGGCGACGTGATGAGTGCGTGGTGCACGTGCGTTGCGTGCGAGCGTGCGAGTGTGTGTGTGGTGTTGTGTGTGTGTGCGGCTGCTGTGCCGTCGGCGAGCGAGAGAGAGACAGAGAGCAGAGAGCAGAGAGCCGAGGCGGGAGAAGAGAGAGAGATAGGAGAGAGAGAGGAGAGAGTAGAGATGTAGAGAGAGGAGAGAGAGAGATGACCCAGCGATGCCGCGCACGAGAGAGAAATAAGAGAAAGAGAAAGAAAGAACGGAATACATTGCCCTAGATTATAGCAAGTCAAACGTCGAATGACGGTGCTGTTGTACTGATAGGCGGACGTGTGCCACATGGCTCGTCTCCACAACGCTCTAAAACTTGTAAACACTGCTAACCGTATCACATAGCCGCATTAGAAATGCATAAATACGATCATTATGAATATGACACGACAATGCATCAATGATTCTAATACTGTCATACCATGTATATTTTTAGGTTCAACTCACCGCTGCCCTTGGTGTGTGGCAGTGGCATAGGGTCGGTATAGTGACCTCGAAGAAAGAGTCTAATGTCTATTATAACTATAAATGGCAATTTTACATGATATTCTAATTTATGTCTAATTATATTGTGTCATTCATTTAATTATAGTACTTAATTTCTATGCATTGTATACCTTAATTCGTCTATTATATGCTGTCATCATCTATATATACTGTAATTCATTGTGCATTGTATAGCCTTAATGTTGTCTATTATATGACTCGTCATTTATGTATTATATATTATACGAAAGCCCGCTATAATTCATGGCAATAATAATTATGGAGCAATTATTCATATGTCAGAGTTATGAGATTGGGATAATTTGGTATCGATGATGAGGGGGGGGGGGGGGGGGGGGGGGGGGGGGGGGGGGGGGGGGGTGGGGGGGGGGGGGGGGGGTGAATGCCTGCCTCTTCCTGCCTGTACTACGGCTACTGCCGCGCTACATGCCACTGTCTGTGCCTGCTGTGCCTACTGCTACTGCTGCTGCGCTCGCTGCTGCTCTGCTACTGCTAGCTGCTCCAACTGCTACTGCTCGCGTGCTGCTGCTGCTGCCATGCTGCTGCAATCTGCTGCTGTTGCTCGCTGCTGCTGCTGCCGCCGCCCCGCTGTTGCTACTGCTGCTGCTTCTGATGCTGTTGATGTGTGTTTTATCTCGTATATAAATTGACTGTCTAACTACGCAGCTTAGAAAATATCGCCTAAAGACTCTGTCTCCACAAACAATGTCATCACAATCATTGGTTGCAGTTCAAATCTGCACGTTAAATCTACAGATTAAACTCATTGAAACTATTCAAATAAACAGAAATGCATGAAATATAGGTGACGGCGCAAACTAAAAGTACCCCGAAAGGTGCCTAAGAATTGCGGTCACTTGCAAACATGTCGCTGTATGACTTTACGTGCAACTGGGCGTGTTCGTTTGTACAGCTATTTAAATTAAACAAATATTTTATCTGATTCAGACGTTATCTGTTTCAGAGCCCAAGTAGGTTCATCACACCTATGTTGCGAGAGTATACAAACCGATTTTTTTCGTCTGATAACGATAAACTAATAGTGTAAATATAATGTACGAACGAGGAGAATCAGACCCCCGAAAAGGTGCACATAAATTAGCACCGTTAAAAGAAATTGATTGCGAATTTGAAAACCGCAAAGGTACGGCGAGAGGTTGTAAACGTCAATTAAAAAACTAAATCACGCTCTGAAAGGTACAAACATGACTTGCGCAGAGGTGTCTCTAGGCGCCCCTAAGCTTGTGGGTGGGGCAAGGGGTGGGGGAGGGGGCAAGCTGCCTCTAGATTAGCCAAAATTAAAAAAACAAGCTTAAGCTAATAATCGCGTAATAACCTAGCGTGATATTTTGGTCATCTAAGTCCCGGCGCCCACGTGAGTTGAGTTTTTAATCAAGGTAAAAAAATGACGGCATAGTCCCATTTTACTGCACCGTGTGCGGCGATTTTTCGTGAGTAATTTGACTCATGCGTCATTTTACTTGAGTAAAATAACTCACGTGTGCGCCGGGCTTAAGTGACCAAAAATATCACGCTAGGGTTATTTACGATTATGCGTGAAAGCCTTGTCTCAGACCAACCCCTGCCACAGTATGGACGTCGATCAAGAGCTGCGCCCGTCGCTCATCGTTACACAGTTGAGTCATCAAATTTTTGAGCCCGCATGGCACAGAGATGTGGTCGCTAACATCAATAAACAGATCACGATTAGGCTCGATCGGCCTTGAATAAGAATCCAGTTCAGCAATAACACCTTGCGGTTCATTCGCCATGCTTCAAGGACGACAGAGCGGGCCTGTTGTCGAAATCCGTAGTTCCGTAAGTTCCCGCTGGATGCGCGCGGCGCAGTAGTAATCCCCGGACCGCTGCCTGGAACTGCCGACAACAATCTTCCGTAACAGTGCCACGCCTGTCCCACGAATTAAAATGCTGCTGCTGATCCATTTTTTATCATTTTCAGATTTCGTAATCAGAACAGATTATGTCTCACCTGCGTAACGATGTTATATACTTGTGTATTGCCTAACTGTGAATGAGGGAAAAGGCGGCAAAACAACACGCTATAAAAAAATATTTTTTTGCTTCTACTCCGTCGTCGTCTCCTTCTTGTGTTCTCGCCGTTCTCTGTTCTTCCTATTTCTTCTCCTTCTTTTTTGTTTCTCTTTCTCCTCCTTGGATTTCGTGGTTGTGTTCTTAGTCGTCGTCTCTCTTCTAT